AAGTGCAGGTGCTCTGCAAAGCTGTCTCCAAGCCTCCGCTTGGTCTCACTGATGTATGGAGAACAGTGGATACAATAGACCACATTAGCGGATGTGCAGATGAACATCTGTCTGACATAGAATGTATTTTGGGGCCTGGGATGGGGGGGGGGTGGAGATATAGGGGCAGGTGTAGCACTTCCTGGGGCTGCAAGGAAAGGTGCCGGGGGTGGTGGGGCTAGTGGGGAGTGTGGAGCGGACGAGGGAGTCGCGGAGAAAGCAGTTCGTGACAAACGACAACACCTTCCGGTCGCCAACCACTTCAGCTACCCCTTCCACTCCCTGGGCGACATGTCCATCTTGGGCCTCCCCCAGTGTTACAATGACACCACCCAGAAACAGGAGGAGCAGCACCTCATATTCCGCCTTGGGAGCCTACAACCCAAGGCTCTCAATGTGGACTTTACCAGTTTCAAAATCTCCCCACCCCTGGCCTCATTCCCATGACCAACCCTCCCTCTCATCCCCGCCTCCTTAACCTGACACAACCTGTCCATCTTCTCCCCCACCCATCTGCTCCTCTCACCTCGCTGACCTGTCTCCATCACTCCCTACCTGCACTCACCTATCACCATCCCACCTACCCTCCCCAGCTCCACCCCTCCTTTCTCTATTTATTTCGGAGCTCCCTTTCCCCCTTCCCCATTTCTGAAGAAGGGCCCGACCCGAAACATCAGTTTTCCTGCTCCTCTGATGCTGCCTGGCCTGCTGTGTTCCTCCAGCTCCACACTGTGTAATCTTTGATTCCAGCATTGGCAGTTCTTACTATCTATAAAGAACTTTGGAAGTGTATTTTCAATTTGAGAACAACACAACACAAGTCAGCCATTCAAACTGCTGTGGCTTTTTGGAAGAGCTGTTCAATTAGTTGTACTCTTGTGCTTTTCTCTTCACGACCCTGCATTTTATTTGTGCTTCACAGCTTGGGTCGGTGGCTGAAATGTGGTTATGGTAAATGTGATCTTCTCAAAAGTGAAAACACATACCTACTCTGCTGTAAAGCTACAACGAGAAATACTGGGTGCACTGAGCAGTTGTCACTCCACGTACGTGTTTCCCAATTCTGCATGTTAATTTAAAAATTTTAATTGAATTGAAGTAATTATATTCAACTTTGCGTTGGCATGTCTATCAATATCTGTAGTCAGGGTAAGGTAAAATAATGAAGCTGAATTTCTGGACGGCATTCAAGTAATGGTAATAAGGGTCTGCAGCAGGAACCATTATCAATCTAGCCACTAATAGCCCTCTTTTGTTTTTATTCCAACTATTTACAGACTAGTTGTGGAAGGCAAGGGCATCCTCTATAATCTCAACTTCAAGATTCCTCTCAGGAATTGTGGTTCAGCTGCAAAGACAACATGCTGCCCTCAGAAATAGGCTGTCAACATAATCAAAACAATACTCTACCACCTGGCCTGCTCTGAAGTAGTTTTGTTGTACATCCCTGGCTATGCATCGTTTTTGTTTGCAGGATGGTTGGTTTGCAAAGCAGAGTGACACCAACAGCATGTGTTTAATTCTGATCTGACTGAGGTCCCTATGAAGGCTCCTCATGTTGACCCTAGGGTGAAATTCACCATCACTCCTCTCCCTCTTCCTCTCCTTCTCTCTATAATGAGAAAGCAGTTATGATGTTCTGGGACTATGACATTTTTTTTTCATCCCTATTTGGAGGTAATGTGCTGCATGTTGCATATGATAATGATAATGGACAGTAATGATTTACTCATCATACATTCAAGTTATCTCTGCAGTTTCAGATTACTGAACTTATATTAATTATATCTATTCCTGCTAAAAGCATGAAGATAGACCATTGCAAATGGCAATGAAAAATACAAGACCAGAAATAGGTTTCAAATGTTTGTTTTCAATTTAATTATATACAACATGAAAAATTCAGTTAAACTAACTCATCTACTCTTCTGAAATGTAGGTAATTTGACCCAGGACCTGACTATTTATTCAAAGTGCTGCATTGTATTAGAAATGGTATTGAATATCTAACTGTCAAATTAACAGTGTGAAAATATTGTGTATTGCTAATTTACATTGTTGCAGTGTTTACACTTTATTCAAGGTTAAATATTAAATATATAGACAAATATTAACTGAAAGCACTAGAAAAATTCAACAAATCTGGCAGCATCTGTGCAGAGAGAAAGAGTTAATGTTGAATTAAATATGTGACTTCTTTAGGCATACATGAAGTCACTCATGATCATTGAATAAATTATTCCAATTTACATTAAGGAACCATAGAACATGTCAGATCTGCCTTAATTTCAAAATGTCCAAATAAATATTAATATTAATTTCTAAAATAAGGCTACTCAGATTTAGGCATCTCAAACACTTAGGTATTTACTCTATTATCCTAAAGTATCCCAAGTAGCTAAGGAAGCCAGATAAAGCTGAAAATCTTATTATTAATGGAACAGCAGAAAATTCCTGTTGAAAAAGAAATTCTGACACTTCGATTTGAAATTTTTAATATCTATCAATTTTCCATGCAAGTGTTTTAGAAAGTTTAATTTGAGTTTATAAAGAACCAAAAAGTGTTATTAATAACTCCTAACAGCTAGATTCGTGGTTGTCAATTGGCTCAAATTAAAGATGAAAATCAATGAAATTAATTCCAAGGTTAAAAAAAAGTTAGAACAAAAGCAGTAAGCTTAAAATGCTTAAACCTCGCCCTCCCTTCCACCCCCCATCTCCCCGTTCAGGGTAAGACTGAAATACAAGCTAGGAAGTTCCTGAGGAGTGACAGAGCAGATAGTGCCAAAAAGAAAAGTAATGCAAGTGGCGAATTTTCAGAAATTGAAAGACTAGAGGAAGTAGTGATAAGATGAAGTGGTACTGGACCTAAAGAGGGTGAAGCCTCAACTTAAACAGGTGGAAAATAACAATGCAAAAGAAATACATTTTTAGTTTGCATATGCATGTAACTGAATGAAAAAGGCAGTTGAATTAAGCATTGCCATTACATTTTGCTTCATGTTAACAAGGAAGCATGTTTAACATGCTACTATGTTAAAACATATTATGAGAACTGTGGTCTTTGTGGCAGGTATGAAAGCCTCAAGAACACTAACAACCTTTTTGTAGTCGGGCATACAGCGTGAATAGATTATTTATTTTTTGGAATGATGAGCCTCTTTCACTTGTCAGTAATCTTCACTGTCAATCATTTTTGAAAACATTAAAGAGTCAAGTCATAAGATCGTATATATGTAAAAGAACAAATATTATTTTGTAAGAAAAATGATAGACAAGGGAACGTGAAGACTATATTATATTACAGCATCCACAGTTCTTTTGTTTTTTTATTGAAGACTGTATTGTGTTTCAGTTGATCTGTGCGTAAAAAAAAAGGTTCAGAGATTTATTGTGCTATATCCATGATCAAATTTACTTTGGAAATGGTGCAATCTAACCTGCTTCCTTTCCTTGAGATGATCAGGTAGACTGTGAATGCTGTCTTCTCTGTTGTGTTGCTGCCTCCTCTATTGTGTACCACAAGAGTAACATCACTTGTTACATAATACCAATCTATTAACATGTATATTATGTATTAACATATATGTAAAAAAAAAAGCCCTAATGATTTAAGTTAACTTGCAAATTTGACACAGAAATAGAGTACATTAAAGCTATCATGCAGGACCGTGGCTATTCTGAACAGATCATTGTTCACTGTGATTTGCACAAAGATGCAAATAGATTAAAAGCCATCACTAAAAGATGTGAAAACAGCCTACTCCACCTCAAATTGCCCTGGAAAAGCAAAGTATCTAAAATTTTTGACAAAAAGGTTAAGCAAATCATCACATTCCTAGGATACAGTGGCAGAATGGTATTTTCCACAAATAGGATGCTGCTTTCTATCCAAAAGATGCTTAGCCTATTACACAGCTGAGCAATTTCATATGAATTTTGGTGCTAAATGGAATGTCAGGTATATAAGCTGTTCATTCCAATGATATGTTGATTAAATCAGATAACATTTTCTCCAGCTGTTCTTAATAATCAGACTTCAAACTATACTCAATTCAGCTGCACTTGCATAACCAAAAATGTCTACTGTTACAGGAGACTGCAATTGAGGAGCACTTGCTGTGTTCCCCATCTGTCTCATCCACATCTCCTGTTTTTGTTACAGCAACAGATTTTGGATCAAGAGGTGAGACACTTTACCAATATATTCCACTCAGGCTTCCAAAGTACACTTTGGAATCTTGATTTAAATTCACTGGTTTTCACACAAGTTCCTCAGGGGTCAGGGAA